TTTCATCAGCCGCGGGATTCTTATAAGATCCGTTATCGCCGATTTTACGCATAATAGATAGGTAACGATAAAAATTATAGTTGCCAGAATATAATATATAACAGAATATCTAATCAAATTTAGGTGATAAGTATATTAGACTTTTTGATAACATTTTATAGAGTCGGTTTTTTTTTTTATGACTTTTTAATCTCTTTTATTCACCGTTCGTTTATTTTTTCATAGGTCAATGATTGACAACAATTATGCATGTTTATTTAGTATATTTTCAATTAGAAATAAAAATATATACAATTAGTGAATATCATCCTGTTATACTTCAGTAAATAAGCTACAAGACTTTTAAACTAATTTAAACAGATTAAATTCAGTATTTGTAATTCGGATCAAAGCCACAGATCATGGATACTGGATCGAAGCAAGTACCCAAGCCGCAACGCATGAAGTACTTTTTGTATTTTCCATTTCCAAGGGGCTGACAGGCGATGTAACCACAGGACGCTGGATCTGGCATGTTTCCAGGGTGACGACACCTAACCTTACGGTTGGTTTTTTTGTGGGTCGACTTGTAGTGGTTGGAAGTGATTCTGTTGTAACATTATTTTCTTTTTCATTAATATCATCATTAGGAAGACTTGAAGTTGTTGTAACATCATCTTCATTGTTGTTAAGATCATCATCATTAGGGACATTTGAAGTTGCAGTAGCATCATCTTCTTTATTATCAATATCATCATGAGGGAAATTTGAAGTTGTTGTAACATCATCGTCTTTTTCATTAATATCATCATTAGGAAGATTTGAAGTTGTTGTAACATCATCTTCATTGTTAATATTAATATCATCCTCATTAGAAACACTTGAAATTGTTGTAATATCATCTTCATTGTTATTAATATCATCAGGAACATTTGAAGTTGCTGTAACATCATTTTCATTGTTATTGATATCATCTTCATTAGAAGGACTTGAAGTTGTAGTAGCATCATTTTCTTTCTCATTAATATCATCATTAGGAACATTTGAAGTTGTTGTAACATCATCTTCTTTTCCATTAATATCATCTTCAGGAACATTTGAAGTTGTAACATCATCTTCATTGTTATTAATATCTTCATCAGGAACATTTGAAGTTGTAGTAACATCATCTTCTTTTTTATCAATATCATCATCAGGAAAACTTGAAGTTGTTGTAGTATCATCTTCATGAGAATCATTATCTCCACCATCTGGATTAATTAGTTTCTCACCACCGTCAGAAGAATTTTTATCATCATCATCTTTCCTACTTCTCTTTTCCACTTTATCAGCATCTAAATTACCTG